AGCAGTGATTGGTGCCAGAGGAGACTCAGCTATTAGTTGACATGTGGATTGAATACTTATATAGATGTCATTGTAATCAAATGCTGATGACTATGGAAATAAAACAATATTAATTATTTCTTATTCAGTTATCATCTACTAGAAGCACTCGTGAAAATTATTGTTTTTCGATTTGATTTTTCCGATGAATCATGATTCTTAAGTTACTGGTTGTATAAGTCCATGGCGAAATATGACTAAAAAATATCTGTGGGATTTCCCCTGTCGGATCGTTAAAAACTTCGGCTTAACAACTTTAACAAAATATTGCAATAACAATCATAGATATGATTGTAAGTCTGTTTAAAGAAGTAAGAGGGTACATGGTGTGGCCTTGTTAGGGCCAGAAATAAAGACACAAAGAAAGGAATTGAGTTAAACAAATATATTGTCAGAAACAGTAATACAAACATATACAAACGAGAGTGTTAGAGCAAGAATGTTCGGTCCGACTGTCAGAGCTGACTACTGGAAACTTCCCTCTCCAAAAGGCAGTACCTGCTCCTATTTATAGCTGGGAGAGTCCATGCGTGCGTGGGTAAATTACCATAACACTTTCATTTCGTTATTTGAAGTCTAGTCAACTTTGATTTAAAAAAATTAAATGTAATATCAATCGTTATCTACTGTCTTCATGATCACACTTCTTCTATTAGTCTCGCTTCTTAATAATGTCTCTTTTTTTTTCTTATTCTTTCACACACAGTAACCCCTTGTGTCTTTGTGGCTTTAATGTCTTACATGGGGTGAAATGATTAAAGAAAATAAAAGGAAGGAAATATGCATTTATCTGATTAGCTGTAATGTGTGTGTATATGTATTTGATGTGCCACGTGGTTTGGTTAAATAAAAAGTCAGTTCTTTTCACGGAAAGTTTCCTCAGTGGGGGGAACAAGTTCATCTATCAACTGCAGCATTCCGAGGTTGAGCAGGCAAAAAAGAGAGGATTTTTTAAAAATTTTATACAGCTTAATATAATATCACCGGATAAGCGTTAAGTTCCCTCGCAGACAAAACTTAAAGCGTTGAAATTGAAACAAAAAGGTATTCTTTGCGTTGTGGCCCTGTTAGAGGCCAGAAATAAAAGCACAAAGAGGGGAATTGAGTTAAACAAATATATTAACAGAAACAGTAATACAAACATATACAAACGAGAGTGTTACAGCAAGAATGTTCGGTCCGACTGTCAGAGCTGACTACTGGAAACTTCCCTCTCCAAAAGGCAGTACCTGCTCCTATTTATAGCTGGGAGAAGTCATGAGTGCGTGGCTAAATTACCATAACAGTACAAATGAAAAGATTTGAAACTGAAATTTTTTTTCATTTCACTGATACAGACGTTAAATACATGAGATTTTTATTGGATCCTCTTTTTTTCTTTCTTCCTTTTTTTTTCTTTCTTTCTTTGTTCTTTTTCTCACTGAAACCAGAGAGCGTCACTGATATGTCTTTTCTATCCTTCCTCGCGATCAAGTATTCCATTATTTAGTAGGTATTGCCTGGACGTAACGTACAAACTAACTAAGGAACGAAGCAACATGCAGTATTATGACATGAAAGATTTCTTTAACTTTTCGGACAATTAAAAAGAAAATTAACAGACCGAGGAAACAAATATTTTATAAACAGAAAATAAAACGCCTTTCCTACACGCACGTTTGTACGATACATCATCGTATATGTTTTTATATATATAAATAATAAATATAAATATATAATATTTATATATAAGTAATAAATATAAATATATACATAATATAAATATATAATATAATATGAATATATAATATAAATAATATAATTATTATTATAATATAAACAAATATAAAATAAATAATTTAATAATTTTTTTAATAAATATAAATATAATATAAATATGTGTACCACTGGCCGTTTCTGTCCAATTATATATTATTTGAACACACACACACACACACACACACACACACACACACACACACACACACACACACATACACACATATACATACATATATACATACATATACATCTTTTTTCCAAGGCAGCTGCACTGAGCACATTTTTATATTTCTGTTTTCTGGTGCGGTATTTTTTCAGGCCTCTTAACAGATTTATATATATATATATATATATATATATATATATATATATATATATATATATATATATATATATATATATATATATATACAAAGAAATAATAACACATAGAATCAATCCATAAGTGACGTGATCCTCATCTATAAAACATTTATAGATGAGGATCACGTCACTCTATGGATTAACAGTATTTTAATGCATGCATTATACACTACTAGCGATGGATGTCGCCAATAATAGCATTAATATTGCTGATTGATTGAATGTGTTATTATTTCTTTGTTTATAAATTATATGCTGCCTAATATTTTATGTTTATATATATATATATATTCATGTATATATATATATTCACTTTCTGACAATGAGATCCGGGTTCGAATCTAACCATGAGCGATTTGTCAGGAAGTAGACTTCTTGATGATATCGGTCTGAAGTGGAGACGATCCCAACATGTGGCATCTTTGGATAGTGCTTGAAAAACCATACCACGGTTTGACCAAAAGCCTCGTGAGTAAAATTGGGTTGACGTAACACATCGGGCCGTCGACAGCTGTGGTAACACGAATTCACAAGTCATTGTATTGTGACCTAAGGTTTGAGTGTGCTGGTGTTGTTCAAATTGTTGAGCATTCTAAATAACACGCCTTTTCGCAGAATCTGTAACTAAGGTCTGCTCAGCATAGTTTCAGTATAAACGACAGGTTGGCTCTGTGGGTGTTGAGCAAACACAAATGTGCCCGAGCGAGAGTCTGCATCAGGGATTAGGTAGCAGCTCTAGTAGACGGTTATCTTCGGATACAAGTGGCCAGCTATTATACATACATACATACATATATATATATATATATATATATATATATATATATATATATATATATATATATATATATATCCGAGAAATTTTCATAGAAAATATTCGTCCTTTGACAGGAATATTTTCTATGAAAATGTCTCGGACATTCAGGCCAGTAAATGTTATTTAATACTGTTTATTATAAACAGAGCATTTACTTAAATACCTGTATCTATAAAAAGAACGTTAAACATAAAATGTCTTTAATAAATAAATTGTCGGACTTTGTCCATTTCTTAATATATGACGTCATTTGTTTACATTTGATACGTCATGAGCAGTTATGAATGTACGAGATTCATGGAAGATTGAAGTTTATAAGCAGTAAATTCAACCTTGCCAACCGAACGATCCTTTGTGGCCGAGCGGTCAAGGCACGTCAGCGTAAATGACGGTTCCGTATATATATATATATATATATATATATATATATATATATAGAGAGAGAGAGAGAGTGTGACAGATTTGAGTGCTTTCCAGCCAACTTTAATATTCCAAATTTTAAATGCAATGTCATTCTCTTTCTATTTTCCTTCTGATCATTCTTCTTTTGTTTTCGCTCTTTTTTAATGTTTCTGTTTTTTAATTCTTCCAGTAACCGCTTGTGCCTTAGTGGCTTTACTGCCTTGCTTTGGGCGAACTCGATTAAACATATATATATAGAGAGAGAATGATTTTAAAAAAAATGAAATAATATAATCTTAACCAATAAGCCTAATCCAAGGTTGAAGGACGTTGCAAGTACACTAAAATATGGTAGCAGATTAACAGTCATGCAACTTGAAGTAATTATTAGTTCCTGGCAAACAATATTGAATTTTCAATTAAAACTATATTGTATGTCAAAGTTTGTAGCAGTTTGTTGAATTGCGAGAAAAAGTAAGAAATTGTTTTAAAGAAAATGTTCATTTTAATCACAAAAGGTGTTCAAGATTATAATAAAGGATTTCGCTGGTTCCCAAACTGTGTGAATTTAAACGTGCTACTAGGTTGGCATTTCGGTCCCACCCTTTCACTGTCGAAACGGTTAAATGTAACCGTCTTTTCTACTCTAATATTTTCATGTCTCGCACTTCCTGTCTGTGGAACTCCCTTCCTTTTACTTGTATCTCTCATAGGTATAATCTTCAGTTATTCAAATGTAATGTCAATTGACATCTCCAGATGCCTTGATCTAATTTACTGTCCTTCTCTTCATCCTTTCCGCTATCACACGTCTTTACTCTTGCTTCCACTCTCTGTAACCCCCCCTCCCGCGTGCTAGTGGCACTCCTGCCTTGCTTGGTGGGGAAATGCTTAAAAAAAACTATCATGACACATTTCAGAAATGAGTTTTTATTGCCACGAGTAAGCAATGATGACCTCCCACTCAATATAAGGCCCAAGAGCCACTCAGAGTAGATGGTTGCTGTGAGGGTGAATGAAATATTATATAAGTGAAAAAGGAGGCGGTAGGAAGAGAATATTATGAGGATAAGGAGGATGAATAAAGATTTACCCTTAACTTAAAGATGTTAAGGTTTTACTGTTCACGGAAGCATTCCCCCGACAGTCTGTTTCACGGAATAGCAGTTCTTGGGAGTGGGGAACTGTTTAATTTGAAATTTCTATTTATAATTGGAATACGGGGGAAATGAGGGAGAATCGACTCCATGTAATTAGCATGGTTTGTTAAAGCTGTAAAATTCTGAATTGGACAAAGTAAAGAATGGAGCTCATTTGAATATTTGCCATGAAAATAGTGATAGAGTAGGGATAGTCTTGCTACGTTGCCTCCATGGAAAAAAGGCTTCAGAATGGAGAATAAGCCCTCAAACCACAGAACAGCGTAAACATTACAGCAACGTCGTTTTATTTTTCAATTTTTTTTTCATCTTTTCTATGAAAGTCAGATGAAGAAAATGACTATAAGTGAACTTAAATTATTTGCTGAAAAATCTCGACTTTATTTTCAAGAACACAATATCATTTTTTTTACCCACTTGATGACGTCTATGTGTCGAAGTTGATTTCAAGTATCCTCATGTCCAGAGAGAAGTTTCTGAAACAACAGCTGTATTGTTCGCTACTCAATAGGCCTTTCTTCAAATACAAAATTGATCCTCAGAGTACCCATCAGCTGAAATTATCTCTCAATTTAAAGTACCACAATTCGCACCAAATATCAACAACATTTCAGCTTTTTTTTTTGTTTCTCAACAACACTAAGTTAATTAAAATCCTCAATTGACTAAATTATATTTAAGTGCCTAAAACGTTTCAATTCTCTACTGCCTATTCACTGACGTACCTTGCTTTTAGTGCCGACCGTTGTAGAAGTTGGAACGTCTGTAAATAATATTCCAAAACTAGACAGCAAGTTCAGTTAAATGCCATACGCGATATACAGTTTGGCGATCAGGTCTCTTTTGATTATTGACCGATTCGGCAGAAGATTTTCCCGCATTAGGTTTCCATTTCTTAGTATGGTAGACTCGTTGCCAAAGAAGGACCCAGTCTGTCCTGCTATTTAACCCATAGCTGGGGGAAGATATAGATTCATACCTTTCCCAAGTGTATTTGCGCGTAAGTGAATGTAACAAACCCGACTGGAATTCAAACTCGGCTCTCCAGTTTCTCAACTGGACAACTTTTCCAAAATATGAAAAAAAAAAAAAAAATTGCAATTGCGATCATTTTTTTTTTTTATTGCAGACAAAAAAACAAAAAACATCGCAAAATAAGAAACGTGGTAATTTTAAATATTTCGATCTTCATCTTCGTGAAATCATGAAACCCAACATCCAAATTTATTACTTCGGAAATGCCAATCTCAGAAAGTATTGCTAGATCAGTGCACCCTGTTTGACTCATCTCAATCTTAAGATAATTATTGATTAACTTCAGTTTAGAGGAAGGTCATTCGTGGCTGGCAACATTATTGGGACGAGTCAAAAACTCTAGTCGTACAGTTAAAGGTAAATTAAATTAAGTTAAATTAACTAGATATTTAAATAAAGTTAAATTAACATTAAAGTAACTTCAATATTGACTTCAAAATTAATTTCAATATTAACTTCAATATTGAAATATATACAAAATTAACATTGAATCTAAATTAAGTTAAATCTAAATTAAATCGTACAGTTAAATCGTACAGTTAGATTAACATATACTAAGCATTAAATCGTACAGCGATATCTGGGAATAAATCCCAGAGATTATCGTTTTGAAGCGGAATGAGAAGAACGAAATAGGACAAATCGTTTTGAAGATTATTTCATTAAACTGGTATAATTCATCCAAATGTCGCACACCAAAATTTGCTTCCCAGGGCGGACCACACCTAGGCTCGCCACTGTACCTATTACATATCCAAAATATACCGAAAGACTTTTAGATAGTAATTGTGCAATCATTTCACCTCAAACATCTCAGAGCAACTAGGACGTCCGGGGTTACTGATGGAGAATGTGAACTTTAGTGAGGAGAAAAGACAAGAAAATGACATGAATCAGGAAGACAGATGATGATGATTGATGTTGCATTTAATTTTTTGGAAGACTGTAGGTGGCAAAGAAACAATAAACTGGAAGAGAGTTCCACAGGCAAGAAGTGCGAAAAAAGAAACTATTAGAAATCACGAGGTCAAGGTACCAAAGAGGAGAGTTCATTAGTGTGTGGCAAACTGTCAAGAAAATATTTATAGAAAGCACAGAGAGAAGCCATGTCACGGCAGTCGGGGAGTGACTGGAGTCGAGATGCCAGGTCAAAATCGATTACATTACGGACCTTTCTTTGGATTTTTGTCTTGGAAGCGCCCGACCAGATACGACAGTAATATTCAATAAATGAACGAGAAAAAATGTCTGGCATGACACAGCGAACCAATCCTCTTAGCAGTTGACCTAGCAATGGATTCAATATAGTCTTTCCACTTCATGTCAGCTGAGAATGTTAGCCAGAGTAGGCGCAACGAATCACTCTACTGGTGGTGTCCAAGGATATTAAATGCTAAGTGAACATGAACAGCATCAAGAGAAATTAAGACTTAGGAGCTCAAGATAAATAACAGGGCTACTGGATCATATGTAGCAGCAATATTCTAAATATGGATAAATGGTAGACTTATAGATATGTAAGATAGATTCTGGAGAGGAAAATTGTCTGAAATGACACAATGAGCCAGCATTCTTAGCCACTGACCTAACAGTGGATTCAATATAGTCTTTTCACTTCATGTCAGCTGAGAATGTTAGCCAGAATATATGCGATGAGTCACTCTACTGGAGGTGTCCAACGATATTAATGCTAAGTAAACATGAACAGCCTCAAGAGATACATAAGATAGATTCTGGAGAGAGAAACTGTCTGGAACAACGCAGTGAACCAACTTCCTTAGCAGCTGACCTAGCAATTGATTCAATATAATTGCTCCACTTCAGGACAGTAGAAAAAGTGAATCCAAGACATCGTAATGAATTGCTCTCTTACAGGTTATATCATCCATGCTGGAGAGCAAAAATCGTTCTCTTTGATGGGTAAAGGATCGCAGTTTCGTTTTGGAGGTGTTAAATTTTAAAAGCCATTTCTTGCCCCAGTTAACAACAAATTAGGGATCGTATTCGAAAACAGTTGCTAGTTTTACTTTCTCAGAGCTATGGGACTTACTATTAAGACGGCGGTAATTTTTATAATTTCTTTTATGTTTTTATCTCGATTTAATTTTTCGATTAAATCTAGAATTCCAATTTTAAGTTAAATAATTTAAAATACATTTAACACTATGGACCTAAAACTTTTACTAGAGTGTAATAAAACAGTATAATAGCCATATTTACAATAGAAAATGATGAAATATATTGAATATTTGCATAAATCCTTCTTCGAATATTATTTGTTTTTTACGACTTATCAACACTTTGTTGCTTATTTAAAACTGAAACATATCTCGGAGGATGTTTACATACCAGATAAGGAAGCACAGGCTCTCTACAATTCCCTGTCCTTTTTAGCTTTTAATAAATGCTGCCCTTTTGTTATCTCTTCTAAAACTTCGTCCGTCATTAAAAAAAAAAAAAAACTCAGCCTCATGAAGTATGTTATGCGTTGTTTTTCTCTGTCCCTCTTGCTTTCAATCTGCCCCGTGAATATCAAAATTTCCAAGCCCTCTTTCCTCAGTTTCTGTCCTAGAAATCTCCACTGTCTCTTTCTGATGTTCAACATGTGTCCTTTTTGTTTCCATTTTCTCTAAAAATCTCGTCATTACTCACATGTTCGGCCCATGGTATTCTTTGCATCTTCCTGTAGAACCATATTTCTGTTGTTTCAAGTCCCTTCTTCATCTACTGCTGTAAATATTACATAACAACAGTTCAATAATCTTTTCTTTGTTGCTAACGAAAAGAATTCAGTTTCTTAATACTTTGTTTAACTTTTGAAAGGCATCTGTCCCAACGCGTCTTCAGATTCCAGTCTCTCACTTTCCATCCTCTGTTAAAACACTTCCCATGTCTTTTAAATTATTGTACTCCTTTTATTATTGGTATCACCGATTTGTATGTTGGACACTTCCTTTTGCAATTCATTTCTAGTCCTTTTTTATTGCTTTATTTTATTACCTTCTGTAGGAGTACTTGTAGTTTCCTTTCTATGTTTTCTAACAGCACTGGGTCATCTGCACATCTTATGCTGTTAAGATTATGGTCTTCTAATTCTATCAGATTATGGGTCTTCTAATTCTTTATAGATTGAATAAGTCTGGTGAGAAGACACATCCTTGTCTTACACCCCTTTCTATTTTTATATACTTACTAAATTTGCTGCCAGTATATGTTCTGAGTTATTCTAATATAATTCCCAAATAACTTGTGCCATTTGAACAGAAGCTACCCCTGTCAAGATTTGAACTTGTTTGGCTCGATTCTATTTTCTTTGTCGTTAACCTTCAGGCCCACTTCAGAACTCGACAGTAAGTACGAATCTAAGCAAATGTAAACTTCTCGAAATAGGCACTTATTCATTGTTTTTGATGTTTCGTATTTCAAGATAAACTCTTTGACCCCGCAAAGTTTGCAGCAGAAGAATCACGGATTCCATGAATTGTTTTTAAAGACAAAAATGAAGATAAGAAAAAAATGAGAGAAAAAATCTGACGATGAAGCTCTAAATAGCGTTTTCGATAGTATAAAGTCACATGATACAAAAGGGAATTTGTGTGACTTACGCTTAGTTTGACATATCCAAGCAACCCCACCCACCGCCAGCCTTGTGGGCTTCAATCAACTTTCCAAGTGTTGTAATGTAGATTGTCTGTACCCTTTCTATAAATAATTTGATGGGAATTGTTCTGATGAAATATTCTTTATCTTACCTAGGTTTTATTAATTTAAACGCAGAATTAGATTGGCTACAAGACTTCGTAAGTTCTATGATAAAAGGTCCTGCTCTCGCACTTCTCGTTTGTGGAACTCTCTTTCGGCTCTTTGCATATTTTACCTCTTGATTATACAGGTTAGCAGTTCATAAAATCTATCTATCTATCTATCTCTGTTTCTATCTATATTTTTTCTTTCTTTCTATCTCTGTCTGTTTCTTTCTTCCTTTCTTTGTTCATTATCTATCTATCTATCTATCTATCTATCTATCTATCTATGTTCATTATCTATACTGTTCATTGTCTATCTATCTATCTATCTATCTATCTATCTATCTATCTATCTATATTTCTTTCTTTCTTTCTTTCTTTCTTTCTATCTATCTATCTATCTTTTTTCTTTCTATCTCTCCATGTTTCTTTCTTTCATTCTTTGTTAATTATCTATCTATCTATCTATCTATCTATCTATCTATCTATCTCTGTTTCTATCTATCTATCTATCTATCTATCTATCTATCTATCTATCTATCTATCTATCTATCTGTTGAAACTTGAATAAAGCATGGAATAATAATAATACAACACAAAATGTACTTAAACAAAATGTATTGACACAAGAAGGTGTACAGAATATTTACAGAGAGTTTTGGTATATTCTTGGGAAGACCGTTCCTGTAGAATGGGTTAACTTAATCGCAGTCGGGCAGAGTCTCTGGATTGGATCTCTTCTTACTTCCCCCGTCTTCCCGGTACCAACCATATTTATATGGTCGGTACTCCACTATGTAAATTAAGTGGATCCTACCACAACACTATCTATTTTTTCTTTCTTTCTATCTCTGTCTGTTTTTCTTCCTTTCTTTGTTCATTATCTATCTATCTATGTTCATTATCTATCCTGTTCATTATCTATCTATCTATCTATCTATCTATCTATCTATCTATCTAGGAAGATGCTCGTAAGGATCCTGAGGTCAGTTTCCTGAAGAAACATTACTACAGGCTTAACCCTAACGCGTCATAAATATGACCGCTTAGGGCTGTTCTTTTATTGTCCTATCTGCTTAATACTGTATTTTTTATCATATGCTCTAACACCTAGTAACCACTTCCATCTTAGTGGCTTTATTATCTTGCTTGAGTTGAAATGATTGAAACAAATAAACTGTGTTCCTTCAGAACGTGGACGATTATTGCTCTCCACAACCTCTCTCGTGGCCCTTAGCAACTTTTCTCTCTTTACCAAGCCAGCTCACCCCGTTCCCTCATCCATCTACAAAGCTCGTCAGGTAAGTGGCCAGTTACCGTCCCCTATATCTCTTTATCTCGATAGGCCCTGTGAGAGTTAAGTTTTGCAAGCCTTCTTTCCTCATTATACGTTTAAGAAATTTCAACCGTCTTTTTCTGATTCTGAGTATAAGTGTTCTTTTTATAGCATTTTCATTAAGACTTCCTCATTGCTTACCTGCTTTGTCCATGGAATTCTCAATATCCTTCCGTAGAAAGAATTTTCAGTTTTCTCTTCATCTGTGAGTAATGCTTACTAGATGGAATCCTTGAGAGAAACTCATTGGACAGAGTATACGTTTTGCAAGGTTTTTTTATGTCCTTATATGGCAGCTCAACTTTAATCTCTTACCCACCACCTTTAACTTTTCTGTGTTTTTTTCTAATTCTTAGGATGATCTATTCTCTGTGGTACCTCAGTCAGTCATTGATGTGCCATGTGTGATACACGCTTAGGCGATCATGTACCTTTCGATACATGACTGACGAGGCGGATTTTTTTCCCGCAGTAGGATGACATTTCTTTCTGGTAGACCAGTTGCCATCCAACTGTCCTACTATTTTCCATAGCTGGGGAGAGGGGAGAAGAAGAGGATCCATACCTCTCCCAAGAGTATTAGCACGTAACTGAATGTATTAGGTTGGTGCAAAAATAATGACGTGATAATGTCGTTTTTGACGTATTTTTAACGTCAAAAACGACATTATTACGTCATTATTTTTGCACCAACCTAATAATAAATTCGACTGGAATTCGATCTCGGCTCTCCTTAACCCTAGAACACTAGCCATCAATTAAAGTTACACCACTACCAACCATGGGTATATCGTACACGATTTTGAAAATATCCCCCAAAATGTTAAATATAAATCTCTATTTGAAATATTTTACATGCAGGCACTTCAAACTTTGTACTTTGATTAATAGGAACTGAAAAACATATTATTTAAGTAAGAAAATCAGGTACTGAAAATTGTAATTAAAAATAGGAAAATTTGCGCTGGGTACTATATACCCATGGTTTGTGTGCTAGGGTTAATCCGAGCCGCTATCCATTACTCCACCGTACCTTCTTATGGTACCCAGACTTTTTTAAAAAAATTTAAGTGCAGTACCAGACTGGAAGTTTCATCAATTTACAGTTGAGTCGGCTAGATGTAGCCGTAAGTTCTAAGCTAACGCGTTCTTTTCTCGCACACCTCGCTTTACAGTCAACTTTAATCTTCAAAAATTTAAATGCAATGTCAATCGCTATCGACTATCTTCCTGATTACTTTTCCTTTTTCTCACTCCTTAGTAATGTTTCTTTTTCTAATATCTCCACGCTCAGTAACCCCTTGTGTCTGAGTGGCTTTATTACCTTGCTTCGCCTCTTTTGTGCCAGTAAAAAAAAACAGTAATTACAAAAACTGGAAGAAATAATTGACAGCGTATGAAAAACATTTGAAAATGTGTTTTCTTCCCTACAAAAATGAAACAGAATTGAAAAGGGTCAAATAAAAAGCTAGATTTTCTAAACAAACACTGAATAATGTTGAAGCACTGTTAGAATAACAAAATAAATAAAATTTGAAAGACTATCTCATGCATAAGTCGATATTTTTACTTAAAAATCATTATTCACCTAAAGTCGAGTATCAACAAAACTAACATAAAATCATTGATCGCGTCTCTTGAATAATGGAAGAAAATAAAAATTGATTACTTTCCGCTTAATTTAATTTTATTTTCTATTAAAGTCGTTCAAGAAAGAAAAACTTGGCTGACTTAAATAAAATGTTGTATGAAGTGCTTGGCACTATCATCTGATTCATGGTTCGGAAAACCGTCTGAGAATATTATTAAAAAGAAAAAACAAACCTTACTATGTCTTGTTC